CAGGGAGACTGAGGCAGACACAGTAGCCATAAGCAAGCCGACTGGGGGGAGAGGAGAGAGGAGAATAAACATTGCAGCTCAGTAATGTCCAGGCAACTGAGACAAACAAGACAGTCCAGGTTTGGTGGAAATAGCCACTTAGGGGAACAGGCTGCGGATCCAGGTCTGGTATATGGGTTAATTCTTTTTTATTTTAAAGAGAATAAAAATTTTTTAAAAACATTAAAATTAAAATTTCAAAACAAAATGATAGGAAATTAATGGTTATTATTTTGCATATTGTTATCATTAAAGAAGTTGCTCAGATGACCAGGTACAGGCATGCAAAATTGATCGAAAAATATAAGCACTAACTGTCCCTTTCAATGCACTAATAGAAATTAGTAGTACAGGGGGCTGGGGATTTAGCTCAGTGGCAAAGCGCCTACCTGGCAAGTGTAAGGTTGTGAGTTCTGTTCCCGGTACCGGAGAAAAACCAAAAAAAAAAAAAAAAATAAATAAAATTTAAAAAAAATTTTTTTATGGTTTTTGTTTTTTTTCCGGTACCAGGAATTGAACTCACGACCTTGAGCTTGCCAGGCAGGCGCTGGGCCGCTGAGCTAAATCCCCAGCTGCCAAAATTTTTTTTTAAATTTAAAAGAAGCAAAAAAGAAGTCAGGCATGGGCATGTATGACTGGAATCTCAGCATTCTGGGAGGCTGAGACAGGAGGATCCTAAATTTGAGCCCAGCTTGGGCAACACAATGATTTAGCTATCTCAAAATGTAAAATAAAAAATGGGGGGCCTTGAGCTCAATATCCTGTACCACCCAAAAGAAGGGAAAGAGGGATCCGGGCACCTTTAGGAGCTCCCTGTCATTTTCTTTCTCTTTCTCCTGTCCCCACCCCAGTGCAGGCAGTGGCCGGTTCCACCACTGGCAACAGCCCGACCCGGCAGGCGCCACTGGCCCGGCCCCAGCCCGTGGGGAGGTGGCCGCGTGGAGCCAGAGTGGGCAGTTTCTTCCCCACATCCACCCGCGAGCCCTCGCCGGGCCCCACCACCCCCTCTTACCTCTTGGGGATTTTGTCTTCCTCGGTCTCCGAGCTGTCTGTGGCGAACGCTTTGACCTCGAAGTCAACCCCGCAGCTCTGTTGAGACGGGAGCAGCAGGCAGGGCTCAGCTTGCTCCCCAGGAGAGGCGGCCACAGCCCTCCCCGAGGCCTGGCAGGAGTGGGGTTAGAAGGGCCCCACAGCTCCGGGAGAGAGGGTCCTTGGGGGCTGCGGGAGGAGGGGTGTGGGGCCTGAGGGGTGTTTGTTTGTTTTGGTGTTTGACAGGGTCTCACTGGGTAGCCCAGGCTGGCCTTGAACTCAGGGAGAGCCTCCTGGAGTGCCGGGTCTCAGTGCCTTTTCCTGCAACTCTGCCCTGTGTGCGTGCGCCCTCTGCCTGCTGGGCAGGGTGTGGGACGTGGGGCAGACAGACCCAGGTTCTGGGGGGTGTAGCCCATGAAGGCTGGGCAGGGCTGTGAACCCCGAGCCCCACAGCCAAGCACGGGCAGGGAGCCACAGCCCCCAGGGCCCACAGCTCACCCCAGTTAGGAGAAACTAGAAATGGAATTTGGGGGAAATCTAGCTTTTCAAAACCCTTACAGCACGCAGGGCAAGCACATCGGGCACCGGCCCGCAGCAGCAGCCTGGCTGTGACTTCCTGGCCCGCAGACCCACGCCCTCCACTAGGCAGGGGGCGGGGTTGTACTCTCCCCACCACCCCGGGCCAGTGTCGCTGCAATGGCACAGGCCCAGCGTCCATGGTGACCCACGAGCTACTGACTCCAGGTTCTGCGACCAGGGATTCACGATTCTCAGCAACTCTAAAGTCTGTGTGGAACATAAACACGTTTTCAATAAGAGACTACTTTTAAAAGTCCATTGTGCCAGCTGTGGTGGTGCACGTCCATAATCCCAGCACTGGGGAGGCTGAGGCAGGAGGATCGCCATGAGTTCCAGCCCAACTACATGGCCTTGGACTACCTGGTGAGTCCAAGGCCAGCCTAAACTACATAGCAAGACCCTCTCTCAGAAACAAACAAAGCCCACTGAAAGAACACAGGAAGGAACAAATCTATGGTATTTCTTCTTTAACCTTTCCTGTGTCTTGCGGAGCCGGCTGCAGCATCACGGAGCAGGGCAGGTAGTCGGGAAACTGCGGAAAGACAAAGAAGAAACGATCCTCTCAGAGGGAGTGTGGTCACGAGCATCACACAAGTTGGGGAAAGAGGAACAAGAGGCAAGAGGACAACCGATCTGCCCACGCTGCGGACACCCAGAGGAGCTGGTCCCCGACTGGCACGAGTGCCCGCGTGCACAGACACGCGGATGAGAGTGCACAGGTGCATGTGTGTCACAGAAACGTGGCCAAGCGATGACTGTGTGCTCTGCTCTGGTTTTCTCACTTCACTCGCCCAGCCTGACTTAGAAAGATTATGACTTTTTTTTTTTTTTGAGACAGGGTCTCGCAGCCCCCTACCTCAGCCTCCCGGGTGCTGGGATGACAGGTGTGCGCCACCCAACTGGGCGGGTGAGGCTGGCTTTGAACTTGCAGTGATGCCCCTGCCTTAGCCTCCTGGGTCCTGGGTTACAGGCGTGAGTCACACGCCCGGCTCCTGTTTTTTTCCATCATGAAAGTTCTGTGCCATCGCACTTAGGGCTTTGATGAGACAGAGTGTAGCCTGCCCCTTTTCCTTTGGTGGCCTTGTAACGGTCTGCACTTTTTTGCCATTACAAAAAGTGCTGCAAAAGAAAAAAATCCTTCTTCATTTGCTCAGGTTCTGATACATGTTGACGCGTTGTCACCAAGAGACTGTCACTTCAAACTGCCAGCACAAGTGCAGGGCAGCGCTCAGGAGCAAGTACCATTTTTTAAAAAGCTCCTAAAACAACTGTAAAATACAGTAACATATTTATCACTTTATCTCTCTTCAATGTACAGTTCACTGGTATTAAGCACATTCGGCAACGATCTCTACTCTCCGCTTCCAGAAGGTTTTCACGATCCCACACAGAAGCTATGGCCACTAAACTTCAGTCTTCCTGGTGTGGTGGCTCAGGCCCACAATCCTGGCGCTTGAGAGGCTGAGGCAGGAGGATCACCATGAGTTTGAAGCCAGCCTGGGCTACATAGTGAGTTCCAGGCCAGCCTGAACTACACAGTGAGAACCTGTCTCAAAAAAAATAAAAAAGAAGGAAGAGAAGAAGAAGGAGGAGAATGCATAGAAGGAGAGAGGATGACAGACATTTCCTCTTGGGGAGCAGACGCCCATGATTCAGGAGCCTATGATGTCAGAACCTATGACGTCAGGCTTCCATGACGTCAGAGCACTTGGTGCTGGTTCCCGGAAAGTCAGCTTTCCTGGATGAGAGGTGCGGCTGCAGCGAGAAGGGATGGAGCCGAGAAGACCCACTGAGGCGTGGGCAAGGCTGGGTGAGAGCGCCCTGCACCCAGACCTCTGTCCCGCCGAGCATTCCCGGGGCCACCGAGGGGCCCTTCTGCCGGTTTCTTTTTATAGCTGGGCTGGCAGCACATGCTCATCTAATTAGGTGGTCAGAGGAAGGGAAATAGCTAAACGGCAGCTGGAAATGATGCCTTCGAAGGCAGATACTATTTTCAAGGACTTAAAAACAGACAATCACAGAGCCGGCGGTCCAGAGCTTCCGCAAGGGTGCAATTTGCAGGCTGGTGGCCTTCCTCCCCTGCCCACCGGGCCCCTCACCGTGAGCAGAAAGGGGTACGTGTGGCCGCCCAGCTTCTTCAGCAGGCTCTCCTGCAGCCGCGTGGGGGCGCCTGCGGCCCCCACGGGCGGGTACACCTGCACCCGCGTGAAGTACAGGTCCCGGCGGAAGCTCAGCCCCATCACGTCGATGTCCTCCTGGCCGTAGCGGAAGGCGCAGGTCAGCGTGACGAACACTGGGGCGAGAGGGGGACGCGGTCAGCCTGTGCCCACTGCCCCGGGATGCGCGGGCAGGGTGGCCTCGCCACGCCCGCTGTCAGCCCGGAGTCCAGGCTTCCCTGTCTGGAAGGGCTGGCTCTGAGAGGCAGTACTGTGAAGGGTGATACAAAATGATACAGTGAATGTTTAAGTCAAAAAGGACTTCAGTTCTATTACAGTAAACACCGTGTTGCCGTGAATTCCCCTGAGTTCCTCTTTTTGACACATGGAGCCCTCCATGTACTTTCTGGAGCCCACTTCCAGGAGCAGTTTTACTTCGCCGTCCCGGCTGCCTGGATGGCTTAAATCGATTCCAAGTCTTGATCTTTCATAGTCGCTCAGACCTGGGGGCCAGCCGGAAGTTGTACCGAGCCAGGCCTGGTGCATAAGGCGGATGAGGGCACAGCCACTGGCCCAGAGGTTCCCGTAAATGTTTGAATCAATTCAGGACATCGAGGCAACTGAAGTGCAACTGAAGACCCTCCTGAAAGAGAACTCCAGAACTGCTGCAGAAAGTGACAGGAATGAGGGGATAAGGGCTGGGGATTTAGCTCAGTGGCACAGCGCCTGCCTGGCAAGTGTGAGGTTGTGAATTCGATTCCCGGTACCAAAAAAACAAAAAAAAAAAAAAAAGAACGAGGGGATCATGTGTTAGAAGGGAGAGGGCTTATTCTAAGGGGGATTCATGGTAATCTATATTTGATTGTAATCATTGTTTAAAACTTAGATATTAATCATATTTCTTTTTATAATGTTGCATATGCAGCCCACACCTTTCGGGGCAATCAGTCCCTTCCTGAGGGTGACAGTGTATTACCCTACTGAGAAATGTCACAGGTGTCTCCCTTGCAAGCGCATTCTGTGGCCAGGGTGGTAGGACTCCGTGCCCAGAGAACACGGTGCCCCTCATCTGCTCCCTCCCCCAGCACAACAGCTCAGGGAGGCTGTGAAGGTGCTGGCTTGCTGGGCTTCAGGGGCAGGAAGTCTGGTGAAGGGTGAAAGTATCAGCAGGAGAGCTGGGCGTGGTGGCGCACGCCTGTAATCCCAGCACTCAGGAGGCTGAAGCAGGAGGATGGTGGAGAGTTTGAGGCCAGCCTGGGCTACATAGTGAGTTCAAGACCAGCCTGCACTATATAAAGAGACCCTGTCTATAACAACAGCCACAAAACAACAATAATAAATACAGCGCTTGAAGAAAAATGGAGAAAGCCAGATGTGTGCTGGAAGCAGACCAGCTGAGGGAAAAGCCAGAGTGAGAGGATGAAATCAAACCCGAGTCTCTCATTCCGCTGCCTTCGAGCACTGCCCTGAAACCGTCTAAACCCTGAGCCACAGCCTGCGAAAACGCCAAGTGCCTGCAGAGCCCGAAGACCCCGAGCGAGGCCGGGGCACAAATCCACGCCGCACTTCAGGCTGGAAACACAAAGCCCGCGTTCTGCAACACAGCACAGAGGTCCAGCCACAGCCTTTTTTTTGGTACAGTTCTGCACATCTGGCTTATAAAGCCACTGTCTTGTTTTGTACGGTAGCCCTTGCTTATACAACTGTAATCTTCACTGGTTGTACTGTGTAGCACTGTGGCTTATGTTCTGTTATACATTACAGTATTACATGTAAGTTGTACAAACAAATCTGGGCATGGTGGTGCACGCCTGTAATCCCAGCACTCAGGAGGCTGAGGCAGGAGGATTGGTGTGAGTTCCAGGCCAGCCTGAGCTACATATCAAGACCCTGTCTCAAAAAAAAAAAAAAAGTTACACAAATAAAAGCGAAGTCACCAAGCTGGAGCTGCCTGTGACCATTTCTTCGTTCTGAGTACTGCAATGTACACACCACACACAGCTCCTCATCTAGCAACCAATTCACTGAACAACCTCCTCGAAGGGTCATAACGGGCCGTCGGTGTTCGCATCTGCAAAGACGCGGAGTCAGCCGCACCAGCAGGGCCGTGAGTAACTCGAATCTGTTCAGTTCACAGCCCACAGCTGTCACGAGTAACAGACGTGGCCGCACCCCAGCGCCAGAGATCCCAGGGCACAGCGACACTGGCCTCAGAGGGCTTGGGGTGCGGGGTGCGTGGGCCGGGTACCGACTCACCTTTCTTCCCTTTCACAAGCTCTGGGTCCACGAGCACAACTCCATCTACACAGGAGAGGGAGAGAAGAGCGAGAGTGACTTGGAGGAAACCAGAAGCCTTCTGAAAAGTGAGCACAGTACACTTTTCCTTTCCTTTCTTTTCTGTGATTCAGGGGATTGAACCCGTGTACGCTAGGTACATGCTGTCCCGCTGAGCTACGTCCCCAGCCCTTTAAAAAATTTTTTTGAATGGGCTACAAAGTGAGTTCAAGGACAGCCTGAACTGCATAGCAAAACCATGTCTCAAAAAGACAAAAAATTTTTTTTTTTTACTGGCGGGGCATGGGGAACCTTTTTGTTAATTTCTTATTTGTTCTCTCTGTGTCTATTTTTTTTTTTTTGGTTTTTCTCCGGTACCGGGAACCGAACTCATGACCTTGCGCTTGCCAGGCAGGTGCTTTTGCCGCTGAGCTAAATCCCC